GTGGGGTAATTGATTAACCACGATTCTGCTTAAACTGCTTGACGTAAAAAGCTTATTTTTGGCAAACGAATTTTTCGAAAGTCAAATTCCAACAAGATGAAACTACCCCTCAAATATTATACCAAGTTATATAATAATATCGCCATATTGTTTTTTCTCATGCTGACATAAACGTGAGAAAATTTTATCTTAGTTGGTATGTTAATGGAAATTCTTGCTTTGCTTTATCATCACCATTACAAATGATTAAGTCGACGCGAACGAAGTCGCGGGTACACACTAGTTTATTTATATGTATTTATGAATAAATTATTATTATTATTTTTTTTTTTCGAGTATTATCTAAAAATATTTTTATAGAGAACATATTTAGTGTGTAGGAAGATTCTATTAAATTCAAAAATTTGAAAGAAATGTTTGAAAAAGTGTAGTTTGAAATGTTGAAAAAGTAATAAATTAAAGGAACGTAAAAAATTGTTCTTTATGCGTAAAATGTTTTTTTACGCGTAGCAAATAGTTCTTTACGCGTAACAAATAGTTTTTTACAGGTAATAAATAGTTTTATACGTGTAAAAATAGTTTTCTAGGTGCAAAAAATATATTTTTATGTATAAAAAATATTTTTTTTGTGTCAAAATATTTTTTACCGGTAGCGAGTAGTGTTTTACGAGTAAAAAATAGTTTTTTTACGTGTAACAAATAGTTTTTACACGTAATAATTTGATTTACTTTTACAAAGTTTGTATTAAAATATCAATATTTTTGATAAGCACGTGGATTACTCACAAATACACGTCGCGTCACTACGTATTCCTAAGCCATTACCACTTTTCGTTAGCAGTAGCTCGTGTGTCACGGCTCTGAAATTTTACTCCCAGGGCGCGTAAAGAAGTGTCACTTCAAAAAAGTTTGATAAATCATGTCTTAAAATTGCGTTAGCAACGAGTAATATTTACTAGCGTATTATAAAATTATAATTATTGATTATATCATATTATTATATTATAATTAAACACACAAGTAACCACAAAACTACGACATAAAAAATCTATACATTACAAATCGTAAAAGAAATCGCAAATAATTATTTTTACACACGCCACTGCACTAGCACGAATACGAATCTGAGCTCCGGTCCGTTCAACAGTCGATCCCAGTGCGAGCATATCTTTTTTCTTTGTCCCCTCAACGCTAACCGCGCCGATCTCGGCTATCTCTTTCTCACAGGATTGACTGTTGGACGGGCCGGAGATCGACGCGCTTGCGATGTTACTAATTGCCATCTTGATAGAAACTACAGGCCTTCCGCGTATTTTGCGTGTTTTTAATGGACACAAATCGCAAAAAACGCTTTCTGTGTGGCCGTGGGCTTATACTTTTTCATCATTTATTTGTTGCAGGGGTACTTAATTTATGTTTAGGATTTTTTATTCAATACGTGAAAAATAGATAGGTATAGAAAACTTTTCATTTGTTACCCGGTCACCTGCGAAACTTACGTAAGGGTTTTCACCTACCCTGTAGGTTGTTTGACTTGCACTCATTCTAAATACCACTGACATGGATATTGGATATGCACTATTTTTTGACAGTATTTCCATTTAGAGAGGACTTCTAATAAAAAATTCCCATATGTTGCATACTTAGTGAACCACTCTGTATATATTTTTATATTTATAAACATTTCAAGCACTAAATAAATACTTTTCTTTAAAGATTATGTTCCACAGTAAACCGAATGAGATTCAAAATAAAATAGAAATATCAGATTTTAACACGCCCTCTGCACTACTCGTGAGGTAAACCGAAGTAGGTCAGGGTCGGTGAGTGAAGGGGGATATTTCCTGATTCCTTGTCCAACTTTAGGCCAACACGCCTTGGCTTAATTTCATTAAAAACACGAATTAACCCTCTTCGCTATTCGACTTTCACCTACTTCGAGTTACCTTGCGAATAGTGCACATGCCCTTTAAAACTCAACATTGTTAAAATTTACAGAATTTTTTAATTCTGTGAATTTTGACCTCTTTGCATTTAGGAACTTAATGCTGCCCGCATCCATGCACCACACCCTCTTTGTTCTTTTTTATAATATATTTTTTAAAGTTTTTTTTTTAATTTTATATAAGTATTTATTATTCTCAATAGGCTTAAGTTATAAATGCGAAAAAGTAATTTTTCTCTTGGTTTTATTATTTTTTAGATACACTGATAAAAAAACTGTGGTAAATTTACATAACTTTTTTATAGATAATTTAGAGTTTTTTTACATAAAAATAATTAAGAATGTATTGTACAAGTACATATCAATAATTGAATATTTACAAAGTGCACGGTAAAAATACATTTTATGTGTATGTTTACAAGGTTGCATGTAATAGTTCTCCAATTATAGGTACGTAAATTTACATGAAAAGTATACCAGGCTACTATGTAGAATAACAAAATACAATTTAAAAATGCGTCCAAATTGTAAATTTACAATGTATTAAGTTTCCTCAATCAATTATATTAATATATCGGATCGCGTGCTTGATTACGCAATAATAAACCACGCGATGAAGCCGTCCACTGTCTATAGAGACCTGCCACTGTATTATACTTAAATATCTTCTAACCCAGGAAAAAACCAGATTATTACGACCAAGAACATCTCTAAAAGTTTAAGGGTCTGAATGTACACAAACAATGGTACGCTCAATGGTACTATATTCATGTGAAACGTGGACGCTGGAAAGCAACGAAAAATTCGAGGCTTGGGTAAGGAAAATACTGAAGAAGATTTTTGGAGAAAAAAAGATAGACAACATGTGGGGATTAGAAAAACAAACGAAGATAATAAAGCAATTATATCGTGCACCAAGTATAAGGGGTGTAACAAGATCACAGATACTGAGATGGCTACGATATAGCGGAGAATGGCTGAAACAAGAGTCCCTAAAATGACAATGAAGTCTGAAATAAGTGGAAAGAGGAGAGATAGACCGAGAACCAGATGGAAAAGAGATGTTGAATAGGACTTTAAGAAGAATAAAAGTTAATGGGTGGAAAATAAAGACCAATAACAGAAAGAAATGGAAAAGTATAACTAATCAAACCATGAGCACTTTAAAATAGTCACGAGCAGGCTATTTTAGATTAATCTCTTCAAACATATTTAAAAACATAAGATAAACGTAATCTAATAAATGGACCAGAACCGTTCTGTTTTCCAAGCGGGAACAAACTGAAAGCGGAACTGAAGAATCTGGATGACTCCATCCGCAACTTGGAGTGGGTGTCCTCCAATGGTTTAAGACACTCGAAAAAGTTCCTCAGAACTAACGACGGAGAAAAATTAAAGCTTTTTCTTCATTTAGCAGGACTTTTCTTGGTCTCTTTTAAACAGGACTTTTCTTGATTTTCTTTTCTTAATTTTTTGAAACAGAACACTATCTCCTCAACAAACACCTCAGTAGGCTGAAGCTGAGAAACAACGGCGAATGCAGATTCTGTGGGGAAAATGGGGAAACACCAGAACACCTTATCACTGAGTGCGCCGAGACATAGGAAAATATGTGCAAGGATGACCAACCAACTTCATTTCATCAAATAATTTTTGTACATTCTATTTTTAATGTAAATATCGGTCGAAATATCCTAGGATTGTAAATATTTCGAAATTTTTATTTTATTATATTATAGAACTATTTTTAATTTTATAAGATAAAATACAAAAAATTGCGATCGCACTATGTGTGCATATTTGAAATGAAACCTCTTCTTACTTCCGTCTGTCTGCCTGTCAATTTGCCCGTCTGTCCGTCCGAGGACTCCATTCGAGTACCTCTATCTACGTGCCGAGTTTGGTTCCAATCAACCCATAATTATAAAAAATCCTAAAGATTTTGTCCATTTCGAGGCATCGGTTCGAAACGTCTAAGGCATCATCCTGTAGCCCGTCCCCAATTATGCCGAAATCGATTTACATTTTTCTTCAATATCAAATCGTTAGTCGCACCCTGATGAAGATGTAAACGAAACGTCGCATCAAACTTTGCAGGGTGGGACCGTGTGCACCGTTGCCCACATAGCCTACGCACCAAATTTGGTCGCGATCGGACAACATCAACTTTTGACGTTTCTTACGTCAAGTCTCACTGTCACAATGACACGTGTGGTACACGGTTAAGTTGGCTTTGGTCCAATCTATCGACATACCAAATTTCATTTAAATCGGACAATTTTTTGATTTGATTCATTGATGATGGGGTTTCGTAATGCACAAAACGTCATCGAAATATCATGAAATGATGGGTCTCTTCGACTACATTCCGGGTGTCAGCCCTCTAGCTCACATAGGGCCAGAATTACGATGCTCCTAGATCGTTACCACTTTGCTCCTCGCGTCTCGTGTGTTACGGCTGTGTCACGGCCTTCAATTTTTACTCCCATCGCGTGTAAAGAAGTTTCACTTCAATATTTTATTTATCAGTGTTACTCAATCTTTTACTTGAATTTTTTGTTAAGCCCTTCGTTTTGCGAAAAATGTAAAAGCCAACCTCATGTTTAGGCTTACCTCGGTTGATTTTCATTATTTCGGTATTTGGCGGCGAGGTTAGCCAAAGTTCAACACAACATAAGAAAACTGGTAAGAATTTCCGGAAATCGGTCGAGTAGTGTGTACATCATCGTCTACCAGAAGTGTATTTCGCGAGGAACTTCGAGATTAATGTTTAAGATTTATTGCGATTCATTCTTAAATTCAATTTTTTAAGCATTTTTAGTTACATTTCTTCATAAATCCATTTTTAACCACAAATCCACAAAAAATACACCTATACATTTGTGCAGAGTAAGTATTTTACGCAGCTATAGTTCTTAATATGTATTTTTGTAACATTTATAAAAATATTTTAATTTTTTCAAGGAATACTTATGTCAAAAATACATTTGTCACATTAATTTCTTCACCACCTCGTAGCCGAACTCGAAAAGCAAGCAACGGCCAAAATAAAAAGTGGGCTTTTATATTTTTTTTATATAAAAATATTTATAGCAACCGTCAATCATAAGTCAAACAAAGTGTTTGGAAAGTTACTTTGCAAGCTTTTCTGAACGTTTTCGTCCACTTATTCCCATTCATTTTCACTGAACTCATCTCTCTTGTAAAAAATGGTAAGTCACCTTTGTTTAGACATAAAAATGTATGTAAAAATGAGAAAAAATACTCAATTTCATTAATTTTATAACTTCTAATTTGGTGTATAATTCTGTCTATTTACTTGAACTCTTTTAAATAAAACGAGATTAAGAGATTCATTAAGTATTTTGCATTATGTTAACATACTACATAAAATAATTTTTTGCATATATCAAAAATATCATAAATGTTTAGAATTATTTTTTTAATATTAGTTAGAATAGTGTACCCACAATTTATAGTTTTGTTCCCTACTACGATTTTATCAAGTTTAGTGCATTTTTGTACTTTTCGAGAAATTAAAAATAAAAATATTGTAGACCTCACAGCCAAATGCCAAAAGATGACATTTAAAGCTTCAAATTTCAAATTCGCATCTTCAACTAGCTAAAATAAAGGTATATTTTAATATTGTTTTGGTTGCGTAACGTGTAATAAATATTGTTTTGAGTATGTTTGGTACGTTTTTGGTAACAAAAGTTAAGTCGAATAATACAGGGTGTCAAAAAAATAGTGTATCCAACTTTGTTGCATGATTCTACAGCAAAATAAAAACACTAAATCACCACAATACACCAAAACACTTTTACTTTTACACTGGACGCGCGTTTCGCTAACCATGTTAGCATCATCAGCAGATGATTATAGAAAGTAAATTAAGTAAAAGTGTTTTGGTGTATTGTGGTGATTTAGTGTTTTTATTTTGCTGTGTAACACCAAAGGTTCCAACCCTCAACTGTAATGATTCTACAGATAAAAATAAAACAAAATGTTTCTATGAACATATATGTCCTAAAATGCTTCCCCAAGAAGTTACAGCACTCGAAAAGGTGAATAAAAAGTACATATTTTGTTTATTTTTAAGAAAATTGTTAAACCGTTTTTCTTGAAATTTAGTACTCTTAAACATATTTTAATGCCAAAGCGGATGGTGATGGTAAAATTTACCCCTAAGAAGGTACTTTACATTAGAGTAGAGAGTACTACTGGTCGTACTTTTTCCATCCTTATAGATAGAGTAATTTCAACAAATGGTATCAAAAGCTAAAACTTTTTTACTTATATTTTTATATCATGCTCATCATTTATTTGGATACAGTGAACGGGTTTCGAGATATTTCTGTTAGGATACACCGATTTTAGTATTAGCAAAATGATGAAATACAACGAAATTATAAGCAAATTAATCTCATGATTTCTCTAATACTAAAATCGACGCATCCTAACCTTTAAACGCAAATATCTTGAAAACCGTTAATAATATCGAACTAGACGTGGAGCACCTTTCTTACGTAAAAAAGCCCTAGCTTTAAATATTAATTGTTGAAATTACTTTATCTATAAGGATAAAAAAAGTACGGGCAGTAGTACTCTCTACCATAATGAAAAATGCCCTTTCAGGGCTGTTACGTAATTTTACACCATCGCCATTCGCTTTGGCATTAAAATGTGTGTAGAGCACCAAATTTCAAGAAAAACGGTTTACTTGTATTCGTAAAAATAAGCAAAATAAATTATTTAGCTTACCCTTTTGAGTGCTGTAACTTCTTCGGGAAGCATCTTAGGGTATAGGCTTATAGAAACTTTTTGTTTTATTTTTATCTGCAGAATTACCCACCCAAGTTAGATACAGTATTTCTGGACACCTTATATATAAGTTAATCCAAAAGTATTGCTTCAGAATTATAAATAATTGCCAGAATGGCCAAATATACCTAAAACAAAAATATTGAAAGTAACATAAAAAAATTAATTTTAAAAAATTTGTAAATAGCAAAATAGACAGCCCAATAATATACAATATGAGGTAAAACTTTGTATTATTAACTTTTTGAGAAAAATAAATTATTCATAAAAAATTTATTTGTTCTAAAATGACTAATCCCTAAATTTCCTCCCTCTAATTTTTTATACTTTTACAAATTACCATACCGTTTTAGATACTGGATTAAAAAATATACAGGGTGAGTCTGAATATATATATATATATATATATATATATATATATATATATATATATATATATATATATATATATATATATATATATATATATATATATATATATATATATATATATATATATATATATATATATATATATATATATAGACGTTATACCATATGATCGAAAAAAAAACGTCCAGTTGACTTGGAAATGACGATCGATGACATTCCCCCTCGCATTGCCTATATAAATTTACATATATAAAATGAAAGCGATCTTCATTTCATAGCTATCGCTGACGCCGTTATTTTTTCGATCATACGGTATATTCATGTACTAGTTCGCTCACTTAAAATTATATTTCTTTCCAGCGTGAATGCATCTCCATCCATCTCGGCCAAGCCGGAGTTCAAATTGGCAACGCCTGTTGGGAATTGTACTGCTTAGAACATGGAATCCAGCCCGACGGCCAGATGCCATCAGACAAGACTGTTGGAGGAGGAGACGACAGTTTTAACACTTTCTTCAGCGAAACTGGCGCAGGTAAACATGTACCCAGAGCTGTATTTGTTGACTTGGAACCTACCGTGGTCGACGAAGTGCGTACTGGAACGTACCGTCAACTATTCCATCCCGAACAGCTCATAACTGGTAAGGAAGATGCGGCTAATAACTATGCTCGAGGTCATTACACGATTGGTAAGGAAATAGTGGATTTGGTGCTGGACAGAATCAGGAAATTGGCCGACCAGTGCACTGGTTTACAAGGTTTCCTTATTTTTCACTCTTTCGGAGGCGGTACTGGATCCGGTTTCACCTCTCTATTGATGGAACGATTATCTGTCGATTATGGTAAGAAATCTAAGTTGGAGTTTGCTATTTACCCAGCCCCTCAAGTATCTACTGCGGTAGTTGAGCCTTACAATGCCATTTTAACCACCCACACCACCCTAGAACATTCAGATGCGGCATTTATGGTTGACAACGAAGCCATTTACGACATTTGCAGAAGAAATTTGGACATTGAACGTCCAACTTACACTAATCTCAACCGGCTTATCGGTCAAATAGTGTCATCAATCACGGCCTCTTTGAGGTTTGATGGTGCTCTGAATGTCGATCTAACAGAATTTCAGACCAACCTTGTACCATATCCACGTATCCATTTTCCTCTTGCCACTTACGCCCCAGTAATTTCTGCCGAAAAAGCTTACCATGAACAATTATCTGTAGCAGAAATTACCAACGCCTGTTTTGAACCAGCAAATCAGATGGTAAAATGCGATCCAAGGCACGGCAAATACATGGCGTGTTGTATGTTATATCGAGGAGATGTTGTACCAAAGGATGTCAACGCTGCTATTGGTACAATCAAAACAAAACGTACCATCCAATTCGTGGATTGGTGTCCTACAGGATTTAAAGTAGGCATTAATTATCAACCGCCAACTGTTGTACCTGGAGGTGATTTAGCGAAAGTACAACGTGCGGTATGTATGTTGTCCAACACCACAGCTATTGCCGAAGCATGGGCTCGATTGGATCACAAGTTTGATTTAATGTACGCCAAGAGAGCTTTCGTGCATTGGTACGTAGGTGAAGGTATGGAAGAAGGTGAATTTTCTGAAGCCAGAGAAGATACAGCTGCTCTGGAAAAGGATTACGAGGAAGTTGGAATGGATTCTGGAGAAGGAGAAGGTGAAGGTGGCGAAGAATATTAAGAAGGGGTATAATGAAATTATACTGATTCTTGTTCATAAATAAATTATTTGTTATAACAATTGTATATATAAATTAAAATAATACATTAAACGAATGTTTAAAATTTGGACTTAAAGTTTACCTCTGAAATTACTAATGTTCTTTTTAAATATGTAATAATTAAACTGATATAAACGGTCAAATTCAACGAACGTAACCATAGTTTCTCGATATATAATTAATTACAATGTATTATTTTTAAATCTTATTATATTATTTAGAACGTTTAAAATAATTAAAAAAAAAATTGTGGCGTTTGAAAGAAAATAGCATGTTCTATTCGGAGTAAAAATGGCTTTTTGTGCCTCGCCTGTAATGTCAAACGTACATAGTACATCCTCCTTTTGATATTCAAGGTATTAAAATCTAAGAATAAGTGTTTAATGTGGAAATTTAAATAACTTCTTAAGTTTTTATTTGTTTCGTGCTTTAATGGCATTAAATTTATTATTATTAGAAATCTGATTAATTTTAAATAATTATCTTATTACTCATGCGGGGAAAGTAGTATCTTTTCGCATTCTTTTGGAGTCGAAAAGACGCTAATTGTCCACTTCACAATTACCACACGTCGATTTGAATGCGAGAAGTAAACTTCTCGCACCCAAATTTTCATTGGCACACGCAAATTGACAAGCAAAAAAGACAGTCTCGAAGTGTCAATATTAAAGAAGTGAGGTTGACATTCAAATATTTTTTTATTTTTTGCTTATTTTATTACGTTGCTTTTTAATACAGGGTGGCCCATCTCGAAAACGTTCCGCAAGGCATAACGGCCAGGGTAATTTTTTTTCAGAAAATCCAAAAACACGTCAATTTTGTTTGTGAGGGGGACTACTTTTGCCCCAAAAATGATTGCAAAATCTTCAACCCTCTAAGCGGGGGGGGGGGGGGGTCATCCCCCAACTTTTTTCAAATGGGAAGGGGGGTCAAGTGGCACCGCAATGAAAAGAGCTTCCAATTCTCTATATTTCCCCGCTTCGTTTTTGAAAATCGGTCGAGTCATTGAGAAAATATGAAGGATTGAAATTTGAAAAGTTTATTTAAACATTTATCATAGTAAATGCTAAGGATAAATTCCTTCGACCAATTTGCTGTTTTTTCTTATTGTCTCTAGATGTTTACGCATTTTTTCACTTGCCACAAGGTTGAACGATCAGGTGCGGTAGTTGCTAGATAGCTGTTCTGTGATTTGCGTTGAAGTTCTTCTCAATATCGTTAAACTTTTTAACAATTATGGTGTACTCACTTGCAGAAAAAGTGAATATAATCGAACTTTATTTTAAAAATAATGAATGTGGCAATCGGTTTGCGCAAATATTCAATGAACGCCATGCTGACAAACACCTTTATGGCAAAATTGTACGCGATTTAGTAGCAAAATTTCACGAAACTGGTTCCGTTATGAATAAAAAGAGGCAGAGGAAAAATGCTGTAGTAAATGAAGCTATGGAGGTATTCGTATTGGCCAAGTTGCCATGGATAGTACGCTGAGTACAAGAAAATTAGCCAATAAGACCGGCGTGAATCGTACAAGTGTCCAAACGATATTAAAAAAACACAAGTTCCACACGTACAAAATTCAGTTGGTACAAGAACTCAACGAAGACGATTTTGATCGTCGCGGGCTGGTATTTTTGGAAAACTTATTGTAGGTCAGTTTAACGATATTGAGACCGCACCTGATCCTTCAACCTTGTGGCAAGTAAAAAAATGCGTAAACATCTAGAAATAATAAGAAAAAACAGCAAATTGGTCGAAGGAATTTATCCTTATCATTTACTGTGATAAATGTTTAAATAAACTTTTAAAATTTCAATCCTTCATATTTTCTCAATTACTCGACCGATTTTCAAAAACGAAGCAGGGAAATATAGTAATAGAAAGCTCTTTTCATTGCGGTGTCACTTGACCCCCCTTCCCATTTGAAAAAAGTTTGGGGATGACACCCCCGTTTAGAGCGTTGAAGATTTTGCAATCATTTTTGGCGCAAAAATTGTCCCCCTCACAAACAAAATTGACGTGTTTTTGGATTTTTTGAAAAAAAAATATCCTGGCCGTTATGTCTTGCGGAACGTTTTCGATGGGCCACCCTGTATGTATCTTTTATTATATTTCATCATGTAAACAAATTATTAAACATTATAAAAAAGCAACGTTAAAATTCCTTTATTTTCTACTCTAAAATTCGATTTAAAAATTTGAAGTTTTTAATGTCATCTTTTGCATTCCACTCCAAAAGTTATTTTTCTTGTCACGGGATTTTTAAAGTATTTTTTGCTTTTTAATAAGTTTCTTTTGTTTACATGATGAAATATAACAAAAGACACATATTAAAAAGCAACGTAATAAAAAATAGTATGTGCAACTCGTGCAAAGTTGTCGATTGCCCACTCGAGAGAAAGAGAGCACGAGCGAAGCGAAAGAGAACTTCGCTCTCGTGGGCAATGGACAACTTTCGCGCACTAGTTGCACAATATACTATTGTTAAACTAAATTAGGTAGATGTGTCAAGGTACCTCTATGCTCAGTCAATAACTTTTATCAAGAATAACATGCACCTGAAAAATCAAAAAAGAACACCCTGTATATTATTGCATTTTTGGCTTCATTTTGGATCACTTTATATAGTCTGAAGATATGAGTAAATATAATTCGATAGTTTCAGAGATATTAATAAATAAATAAAAAATATAATATATTTTTCAGCCTTTATTAAAAAAATATTAAAAATACAAGAATCTGTCCTGAAATCAAAACTATATTAGGTATTTACTTTAGATGGTCTGTACTTACTTTGCTATAAATATGGTAGTCGTAAATCATACAGGTTGTTAGGTTTCTATTAAAAATTCTACCCTAAACTTTCTAAAATATAAAATAATTTTTCTGCATTTTTTTAAATGGCACAACCTGCATATTTTTTTTTCAATACATGGAGAATTAAAAAAATATTTTTTTTGTATTTAGAGTATTTCAAAATTTTAACGGTATTGCAGATATTCGTGGTTTTATATTTCATATGGCATTTTCCACAGTAAATTTTTATTAAAGCCACCCAGTGGTTTTTTTCTCGTATTTTACCATTGAAACAGCCATATGAAATAATACGCGCGTCTCTGCAAAACCATTAAAAATTTTGAAATACAAAAAATCTAATAAAAAATAATATACAGCGTGTTCCAATAAAAAAAAAGAAAAATTATTTTATATTTTAGAAAGTATGGCGTAGAATTTTGAACATCCTGTATGATTTACAATTACCATATTTATAGCAAAGTAAGTACAGACCATCTAAAGCAAATATCTAATATAGTTTTGATTTCAGGACAGTTCTTGTATTTGTAATATTTTTTTTAAGTAAGGTTAAAAACATAAATTTTGTATTTATTTATTAATATCTCTGAAATTATAGAAATAGATTTGCTCATATCTTAGGATTATATAAAGTGATCTGAAAGGAACCCAAAAAATTAGGTATTTCATTATAAAAAATCATCCTGATCCACTCATACTTTCTTGAGCCACATAAAAAAAACATTAAACATTTAACACTTAGAAAATATCATTTTAATAAATTACTTGCAACAAAAAAGTAATTTTAAAAAATGTAGTACATTTTAAAAAATGTAGTAGAAATTATTTTTTGCCACTTTTCGCGTTTTTGTGTTTTGCCACTGTGCGTCCTGTGAGGCGGGGTTTAGTGCACGGCCACACAGAAAGCGTTTTTTGCGTTTTTAGCGTGAAGCGTTTTAGCGACTAAAACAAAATAATAGGATTATATAGGAGTGGCCACACCAAAAGCGTGTAACGTTCGGCGTGTCTTGCAAAAAACGCAAATGAAAACAAATCAGTTTGTTTTCTGTAGCGTCTTTAGCGTTTTCTAAGATGAGATCCCGTCATAGGCGGACGTTATATTTAATAATACAATAAAAATAAATTAAATAGTAGGCATTTTTTTTCATTTTAGGGTATAATCTAAAAATGTTTTTATAAAGAACATCTACTGTTTAGAAAGATTCTATTAAATTCAAAAATTTGAAGGAAATGTCTGAAAAAGTGTAGTTTGAAATGTTTAATAAGTAATAAATTAAAGAAATATTTTCTTACGCGTAAAAAATAGTATTTATATAATTATAATTATTTATTATATTATATTATAATTATTATAACAATTACTAACCAAAACACTACATCATAAAAAAAAATATACACATACATATAAACTAAAATTCGTAAAATATATGGCAAATAATAATTATTACTTTTACACACACCACTGGCACTAGCAGTAGATTGTGTTTGTCTCCGAATATATGCCCCGGCCCGTCCACAATTCAATCCCAACATCTTTTATCTTCGTCTCTTCAACGCTAACGGCGCCGATCTCGCCTATCTCTTTCTCAGAGGATTGATTGTTGGACGAGCCGGGTATCCACGAGCTTGCGACGTTACTAATTGACTTCTTGACAGAAACTGCAGACCTGCCGCGTCTTTTCCGTGTTTTTATTGGACACAAATCGAAGAAAGCGCTTAACACGGTAAAATCGCAAAAAGTGCTTGAGACGCAAAAAACGCAAAACGCTAAAAACGCTTTCTGTGTGGCCGTGGGCTAGACGAGGTTTCAGATATTGCTTTATATACTTTTAAATTTCGTATAGTACTACAAAACTAAAAGTTTTAAAGTTTGTTTGCGAATTTCACATAAATAACTTAGTACCAACAAATATGTTACTTGGATAAACAAACCTACATACCTTCAGCTCTACAAAATATTCCAGATATAAACTGGAAATGAAATTTCGGAACTGGCTTGAAGCGCACACTGCTTAAATTAACTGGCCCAATTTCCCAGTTCAAAGCAATTTCTTGAATAGGGGAGATAACAGAATCTTGCAAGAGAATGCACGGAACAGAATGTTTCTTTGAACCGTTACACGTAATTTAAGGAAAACGTTTAAATATTAAGGTTTTAGTCCGTCAGTGTTTTTAAAAAGGGCATTTAAAATAAGCAAACTCGGTTAAAGCAGAAATTAAACACTCAGCAGTAACTCGATTATAAATATATTT